CAATCCAAGTCTGGTTTGTTGATTTTGTAAAATGATCATTTTGCTATCATTTGTCGAAAGCAATCGTAAAATGTTTACCAAATCTTCATTTTAAATCGGATTCAATCGAATCTTATATCTTGGAAAGTCTCTTTGAAAATAGTACAAATTAAAATCAACCAAGTTTTGAAACTCAAAAGTTTTTCACATAAAATGTCATATAGAATATCAAATCGTATTCTAAATTTGCGAGAGATAGGAGAAGAATGAAGGAATGAAACCAAGGGGATCCAATATATCTCAAATAGATCTAGAAAGGTTTGTTAGGTTGTCTGGCTAGGCTAAAGTCCATCTGAACACATCTGGTTATGGGTAAAAGTTGACAAATTGGGGGTTCTAAACCATTTTTTATATTCGTTATCGGGCGGCGTTTCCAAAACGGGAACCACGTATTATAGCCACCAAAATGGAGTGTCTACAAGGTGGCCTAGTGGTTGAGCTACTCCTTACTAGATGTAAAATTTGGGTTTGAGTCTTATTACTATGACTGCAACTTCTTTTCCCTTATTTCCTTAATTTTCTTCACACAAATAAATCAATACATAAATTACAAGACATTAATGTAGGAGCTCCTTAAGTTAGAATTCTAATATCATGGAAAGTTTTATCCTTTGTCACTGTTATTTGCATTTTGTATCAATTTGATCCATATAATTTTAATTCCATTAATTTGGGAACTTGAGCTATATACGTCCAATCTCAAAGTTTTTGGATAGCAATATCCTTAAGCTCTATTATTTAATTTCTTAAATTTCTCCAGTTTCATTTGGTAAGTCTTCAATTTCTTCTTTTTCATTCTTGTTCTTTACTATTCTTTAGTATATTTCTCCTTTGAATTTGCCATAAGCTCTTTATGTTGCATTTGCCTCCCGTGCTTGTATTGCTGTAGGCATCTGTATTTGTATTTGCTTATTTTGAATCTTCATCATTCATGAATGTGCCTTTAGCCCATTGTTTACTGATAAACGTTTATGCTTATCCCTTTATTTTGATTTTTTTATGTGCTTGATCTCAACTGCATTCATCCTGTTTCGAACTTGTTCCATAATTCTCCCATTGTGCGCTCTACAGAAGGTCCTTCACTGGGCCCCTATTGAGTTGTGTGCATCCATCCTAAGTTGAGGACTTCCTTTACAAGATCCATGAAGGTGTATGCGGAAGCCGTGCTGGAGGCAGATCACTTGCTCATAGGGCTATATCTTAGGGGTACTGGTGACCCTACATGCAGAAGGATGCTGAAACCTATATAAGGAAGTGTAAAAAGTGTCAAAGGTTTGCGCCTTTGATACATCATCCAGTAGTAGATCTAAATCCAGTATCCAGTCCCTGGCCATTTTCCTAGTGGGGCATGGACCTTGTTAGGCAATTGCTCCAGGCAACTAGACAGAGAAAATTCTTGCTAGTAGCCACAGACTACTTTACAAAGTGGGTAGAGGCTGAACCCCTTACGAAGATTCGAGCTATTGATGTGAAGAACTTCATCTGGAAAACATCATTACCAGGTTTGGGATCCCAAGAGCCATTATGGCAGACAATGGCACCCAGTTTGATAGTAAGTTGATCAAGAGCTTCTGTGTAAGGTATAAGATCAAAAATTATTATTCTACCCCTAGCTTCCCCCAGAGCAATGGTCAGGCAAAGGTATCCAACAAGATCATCTTGGATGGGATCAAGAAGCGGTTGGAAGTAGCTAAGGAAAAATGAGTAGAAAAATTGCCCAATGTGCTATGGGCATAACGGAATACGCCAAGAAGATCCACTAGAGAATTTCCTTTTGCTATGACATATGGCACTGAAGCAGTCATCACATTAGAGGTCGGCATCCCTGGAATCAGAGCCCAAGGAGTGGATAAGGGAACCAACGAGGCATTCCTTGCCCAAGATTTTGATCTGTTGGAAGAAAGAAGGGAGAGAGCAATAGTTCGGCTAGGGGCATACCAATAGCAGCTTGCTAGGGCTTACAACAAGAAGGTCAACCCAAGAGAATTCATGGTTGGGGACCTCATCCTTAGAAAGGTTGTCGGCAACAAGAAGGATCCCAATGAGGGCAAGTTTGGCCCAAATTGAGAAGGACCATATCGAATCATCTCGGTCGCCGGCAATGGCGCATATCGGCTGGAAGATACTGATGGCAAGGAGTTGCTAAGACCTTGGAACACAAACAATTTGAAGTTTTTTCACCATTAGTTTTTTGTTTATTGAGTTTCATGTAATAAATTTATTAGCCGAAGTATTAATAAAATGCTAGCTCGAATTTGTGTGTACGGATTATTGTTGACACTATTGTGATAAGACTGAATAGTGTTATGACGATATTCCTATAGTGAACATGACGAATAACTTAGACTTACCATATGATAGAGTTGAATTAAACTTACCATATAGTAGAGTTAAACTAAGTTGGCGATGTTTCCGAATGAAACATGACGAATAACTCAGACTTGCCATATAGTAAAGTTGAATTAACACTTGCCATATGGTAGAGTTGAACTAAGTTGGTGATATTTCAGAATAGAACATGATACATAACTTAGACTTGTCATGACGACAGAGTAGAACTAAGATTGATCTAGTTAGATTAGTAGAGACATTGAGGTAGAAAACCTCGGCTAAGATTTGTTTGAATCAGGCAAGAAAAACAAAGAAAGTAAGACTCAGAATCGATAAAAGACTTCTGTTGATAGGAAAAATGTAATAACCTGACCCTCGTACATGATTTCTTAAATGCTTACTGTGTAGTTCCGTGAAAAATTATGATTAAGGAAGTGAAATCCATGTCTATGAATGTCTATCTGTCTCTCAAAGGAAACTATCTGTCACTATTAACACGTTTGCATTAGAAATTGGAAGCCTTAACAGCTTAATTAGCTGAAATTGATTATATATCCGTAATCAGCATAATATTTAGGTAATATTAAGCATGTTCGTGAAATTTTAATTTTGGAATGATTAAACGATCCATTTTTGTCTTATATGCCTTACTTATGCCTTACTTATATATATCTCTAAGCCTTTAGGAGCCTTGATCAAAAAACAAACAAACGTGAATACCATTTTTGGGGGAAAAGAGGAGAAATCGGGGGAGAAGGGATTCCACAAGGAAGCTTGGCAAAATTGTTAGAGGTGTAGGATTGAATTCAAGGTAAGCTCAAATCCTTCTTGCTATGGCCACTTAGAGTTTGTATTGATGTGTATGTTTGATTCATGTCTAATTCATGCATGAATGATGAGGGTTTCTCTTACTTGGTTGCTTAGGCATCTAGATTTGGGTGTGGTATGGAAGTATACTTCAATCTATGGTTTTCTATCATCACTTCATGGAATTATGTATATATCATGTGTTATGTTTCAAAGATATGAAAGAACTTGAATTCAAGAGTGGAATTAGAGAGGGAGATGACTTTTTAAAGCTCCTAATCTTGCTTAATTTATGATACTCGAGGTAGAATTCATGTTATAGTGAAGTTAGGTGAGTATATTGCATTAACCTAACCTTGGGTTACATGTAAAAATGGAATGAATACCTGGTTGGGACTCCAATGGAAGTCCAGAATTTCAGAAATTCGCTTGGTCCGCTCGAGCGTAGGAAAGCCCGCTCGAGCGGGAAAAACCACCTCTCAGCAGTTTTGTGCAATTTACAGTCCGCTCGAGCGGCCAAAGTTACGCTCGAGCGGAGGACTCATTTTCAGGAAAAATTAAATGTTTGTTCAGCTTTGAATGCTTGTTTCTCTGGTATTTTTAGAATGTTTTACAGATGATTTTAAAGTGGTTGTAAGTATGCAAGGTGTAAGACTCAGGAAATGCTTTTAAAAAGGAGAGAGAGAGAGAGACTAATGTATTACTTGTGTACAGGGCACATTCCAGAAGGAAGCAACACGCTATCTCAACACTGTGAGTAGTAGTACTTATGTTATGTTATGCAATCATGTTAATGTCTCAAGTATGTAATGCACTTATGCATGTTTAAGACATGTTAATGTTATATGTAAAGAACAGCATTTACAAGGGCTATATGCCATATGTTCAAGGGCCTCGTGCCATATGTTCAAGGGCCTCGTGCCATATTTTCAAGGGCCTCGTGCCATATGTTCAAGGGCCTCGTGCCATATGTTCAAGGGCTTCGTGCCATCATGTTTCAAGGGCTTATAGCCACAAGCTTATGTCACGGGAATAGGCCTAGGGCCATTATGAGCTAAATGCAGAATCAGACAAATCATGTGCATGCTACATCTTTTTATGTATTGATGTATTTAAGCTTCAAGTCAGACGTCTTTCATTATGTATTACTACTCATTGAGCTCGGCTCACTCTCTATTTTGTCTGTTTCTGTAGGTTATCAGTCAGGGGGTCAGTCCTAATTTTGACGCTGTCCCTTTTGTCAACCTTTACATGTTCAGGCACCACACCAGGCCATTTATTTTTGTGAAGCTGCTAAGATATGAGTCTGCATTTGACAGCCACCTATGGATGTTGTACTTAACTTTTATATTCCTTTTGTTATGCCCAATTATCGGGCTAGGACTGTAAATGTATATGTTATACATGATATCCAAGGATATAGTTTTAAACTTTATCCGCTTTTGATGATGTATGTAATGTATGAGATCCTGGCATATTAGAAATAGCTCAATGGAGTATGCTTGTATTTTTTTTTGTTATAGTAATATTTTATGCTTCCGATAAGGCCCCGTACGGTGTGTACACCAGTTTTTATATCAGGTCTTGCTTAGGTCATGCCCAAACCTTTAGGGGCAGGTTTAGGGCGTGACAGTGGTATCAGAGCACGAGTTGCTATCTCACACACGGATCCATTGAGCTGTAGGGTATCTAGAAAGGATTTAGGCCTCATGCATGACATCCTAAACATATAAGACAAGTTCGATGGCAACATTAAGTGTACTCTGATAATACTAACCATGTCGCATTATGTCTATAGTATTGAATTAATTGTTGTGTAGATCATGGTGAGAACAAGGACAGAAGATGTGGAAGATGCCACCTCAGCACGACTGGATAGGATGGAAAGGATGCTTATGGAAATGGCAGAGGCTTTACGGCAACAACAGCAACAGCCTCACCAACAACCGCCGCCACCACCAGTACCCCCACCTGTACTGCAAGATTTTCACGCTGAAGACCGAACTATCACTCTCACTAAGGAGTTTAAAAAGATGAAACCGCCAACCTTCAAAGGAGGAATAGAACCGATGAAAGCTGAGGCCTGGGTATTGGGCATAGAGAAGTTATTTGAAGTCTTTCCCTGCACCGAAGCTCAAAAGGTACAACTAGCGGCCTTCACTCTTGAAGACGAGGCACGGAGGTGGTGGATGCTTACGAGGACAATCCATCCAGAGTTAACATGGGATAGATTTTTGGGGCTATTTTATGATAAATATTTCCCCCAAAGCATGCGGGACAAAAAGGTGACAGAATTCGAAACTCTCAGACAAGGGAACAAGACTGTTGCTGAGTATGAGGCCCAATTTGCAGAGTTAGCCCGGTATGCACCGCATATGGTGGACACGGATTATAAAAAGGCACGAAAATTTGAAGGGGGCTTACGGGGTGCCATCTTGGATCGAGTCAATATGTTAAAGTTGCCTACCTACGTAGATGTGCTGGAGAGGGCTGTTATAGCTGAGGGAAACCTTGCTGCTCAGAACCGGATTGCTGAATGGAAAGGAAAGAGGCAAAATAATCAATGGTCAAAGGGAGTGGCTACTCCACCAAACAAGAAACAAAACTCAGGGACTTCGAATACTTCTGCCCCTAATCAGGGTACAATTCCTGTTTGTTCGGAATGTGGAAAGAGGCACCATGGGATATGCCAATGGAAGTCTGGAGCCTGTTATCAGTGCGGAAAAACGGGTCATTTGATATGCAGGGCACATTCCAGAAGGAAGTAACACGCCACCTCAACACTGTGAGTAGTAGTACTTATGCTATGTTATGCAATCATGTTAATATCTCAAGCATGTATTGCACTTATGCATGTTCAAGATGTGTTAAGGTTATATGTAAAGAAAAACATTTACAAGGGCCATGTGCCACAAGTTTCAAGTATATATTCAAGGGCCTCGTGCCATAT